GAATTTATTTTTGCCAACATCAGGAATTCTTCCTGGACATAAACTTATTAAGACAGAACCAAGTAAAACGATGTGTGTCCAGAAGGAATGGCATTCTGTGTTTTCTATGTTGAGGAGGTGAATTTCGTATCAGATTATGTCAGCACAAGTGGTGGGGTTCAACATTTTTTACTTCTCCTTTCCCTCCTTTTGCTAGACTTCCCTATTTTTCTACACTTAGTTTTACTAAGCTTCACTTAGCTTCACCAGTTTAACAGGGCCTGGGCAGGCAGCACATATAAGACGTCCTGAAAACACATTGCCCTGTGTAAACAATTGTTTTTGGCAACTCAGAGGTTTCGTGGCAGGACTGCATTTTTTTTTTTTTTTTGAAAATCAAATGTTTAGGCCAAAGTTAGAATCGCATGTGCATTTTATGACTTGGCATATTCAAACATTACAATTGTGTGTTTAAAAAGGGAATTTGATCTTTTTTGCTCTTTCTTCTTTGGGCTTCCATTTTTTTCCTAGTTCCATTGTTTTCTCTTTTATAGTACATTTTCATATCCTGGTATATCGTTAAAGCATCTGTTTCTCCTCAATCATGATTTTCATTCAAGAATAATAACTCTTTGGTCTCTTTTGGACATGTTTTGCTTTGCCCCCACATATGAACTCCACTGGAGTGTGTTGAAGGTTAACGGCCCCATTTCTGGAATTTTCTTGGATCCCTTTTGGAGAAAACTGCCAAAGTATATAGGGAGGGCTCAGATGTATCTGGGCTCTGCCAAGGCCTTTGAGAAAGGCTCCACATAGCTGCACCTTCTTCCAGCTCCCTTCTGTTCTCACTGTGCCTAACTTCCTCATGGTTCCACATAAGGGATCATATCTGTTGTTCATGTGGAAAAAGAACCTTTGTAATAAAAGAAACATCAGAATACTCATTTACCTAACAACCCTCGACCTTGTCTATTAATGGGTAGAAAAATGCTTATTACTTCACTGAGTTTGTCTATTCTGTTCCCTTTTCCAACCCACATCATCGTTAGTCATGAATGTCTCCACTAGTCATTTTCCAATGCTCTTGTCAGACTTTAGGAACAACCAGAGTTGCTCAGATTATCTTTCCCCACAACTGTTGAGGTAGTAGAGAGATGACGTAAATGACTCAGCATTGCTGGAAATGGCTGGAGGGACCTTTTAGCAGGGTTTTGCCCGAGAAACACTAGGATCACTCCATTAAGTTATCTACCCTATAACACAGTTGAAGCAGTTTGCTTTGGTTGTGACTTTCTGCTGCAAGAGGCAGTAAACTCAACCTAAAGCAAATTCAAGCAAAGAGATTTCAGTGATTTGTATAACTGAAAAAAAAGTACTGGGGCCATGTAGCCGCAATCTAATTAAACACTGCTTCTTCCCATCTCCCCGCTGCTAAGTCGTTTCAGTCATGTCCAACTCTGTGCCAGCCCATGGACTATAGCCCGCCAGGCTCCTCTGTCCATGGGATTCTCCAGGCAAGAATACTGTGTGGGTTGCCATGCCCTTCTCCAGGGGATCTTCCCAACCCAGGGATCAAATCTGTGTCTCTTATGTCTCCTGCATTGGCAGGCGGGCTTTTGTTTGTTTGTTTGTTTTACCACTAGTGCCACCTGGGAAGCCCCCCATGAAATTAAAAGACACTTGCTCCTTGGAAGAAAAACTATGACAAACCTAGACAGCACAGATATTAAAAAGCAGAGACATTACTTTGCCGACAAAGGTCCCTATAGTCAAAGCCATGGTTTTTCCAGTAATCATATATGGATGTGAGAGTTGGACCATAAAGAAGGCTGAGTGCCGAAGAATTAATGCTTTTAAACTGTGGTGTTGGAGAAGACTCTTGAGAGTTCCTTGGACTGCAAGGAGATCAAACCAGTCCATCCTAAAGGAAATCAACCCTGAATATTCATTGGAAGGACTGATGCTGAAGCTGAAGCTCCAATACTTTGGCCACTTGATGTGAAGAGACAACTCATTAAAAAAGACCCTGATGCTGGGCAAGATTGAAGGCAGGAGGAGAAAGGGATGACAGCAGATGAGATGGTTGGATAGCATCACCGGCTCAACGGACGTGAGTCTGAGCAAGTTCCAGTAGATGGTAATGGACAGGGAAGTCTGGTGTATTGCAGTCCATGGGTTTGCAAAGAGTTGGACATGACTGAGCAACGCAACAAATAACTGAAAGCTCAGAGATGGGGCTCTCTTCTTATGCAGCACAACATGGGGCTCAGATGGTGTCATAAGACCACTAGTCTCTCTCTTCAGATCTCTTGGTTTTGCTCTCTTTAGTGCTGCTCATTCATAGGCAGGCTCTCTCCTCAGACTCACAAGATGGCTGCAGAAGCTCCAGAAATTACATCTTCTTGGCTTCACATCCACAAAGGGTCACTGCAGTCAGCCATTTGATACTAGGAGTGCCAGCCTCAGAAAGCTGAATTTCCAGTGTTTTGGGAAAGAGGAGGACCCCTGGATATCTGACATGCCTAAAGATTACTCAACCCTGGCACCATCCTATCTTAAGACTCGTGTTCTGAAACAGTAACTTTTTGATTAAATTGTTTTATATGGAGCTTTCTTGTTAAAGGGGAATTCATCTTTTGCTGTTTCACCTTTTGGCCTGGACTTTATTCTAGTTCCATTATTCTCTCTTATATGCTACATTCAGTTGAAAGCATTCTAAATGATACTGTCATTGGCTCCTGTTACGTCATGTACCCATTCCTGACCATTCCTAGTGGGAACTCAGATCGATGTGTGATTGGCCTCAGCCTAGATGCTCCAGTTCACTTCTTCTATGGACTGGGTTCATCCCACCTGATGACATGGACTGAGCCTAGAGGAGAAAGAATAGCTGCTGGGAAATTAGGGTATGGTTTATATAAAACAGTGAAATAGATACTGTGAAGCAAAAATCCTAGGTGTCCAGTCCTTCATTCTTTTGGATGTGACTTTTATTGTCCAGTGGCTTTAAATTCTTCGTACAGGGAGTAGGGACTGTGTAATTAGTTACCTGGTCTGGTAGCCCAGCATATATAACTTTGGAAGTGTTTTAGATCAAAGGTAGATCTGCTCTGCTATGGACTCACCTCAATAGTTTATGGATCCTTTTCCTCGGTTGGGGCCTCATATCATCAGCCATTTCAAGGTCATGGCAAAGGAAAACGTGTCATGGCCAAGAAAGACAAAGCTTTGAGTTTCTAGATAATCCAGTGCTCTCTAACTGATACCAGGAAACATGGCAGCTAATGAAGCCTCACGTATCATCCTATGCCAGGCCCCATGGTTTTCTGGCCACATCTCTCTTATCTCTGGCAGTTCCGTTGGTGTTATGGCTCTCAGAGTCAGCCTGGTATCTTGAACAGTGGGGCCTCAGGTCAGTCTGCATTGGATGATCTCAGTTCTGCAGTTGGCTGGAATTCCATCTGTCAAGAAGCTTTCACAGTCAGACATTTGATAGTGGAACAGTGGGTCCACCAGGATTTCCTACGTATCTGGAAAGAGGAGCAACCCTGGAGACCTGACATGCTCTATGAAAATTAGGGGTTAGTTTCTGCTATTCCCAGTTAGTCTCTGGGAACTAATGTAGTTCAATGTTTGAGGATTGGGGAAAAAAAAAAAAAACATAAAGAAGAATTTCTCTCTTTTTCATTATGAACTTAAGTAACTTCAAGAGAATCTAATCAACTTTAAACTATTTACTTCCCTCCAAAGTAATTTCCTCTGTCAATGCACAGACATGCATTTTCACTGAGTTATAATTAGTGTGAACATACTTGTTTTTGTTTAAGAAAGGTTTTCTTTACCTTGGCATTCAGATTTGTTTTCATAGGCGAAGAAAATACTGAGCATGAGAAGGAACCTTCGCTGGAGAGTTGGGAGGATTATATGGGGTCATATTATCCCACAGTTAAAGAGACCTTCAAGGACCCCCAATCCCCCCTGTATCTCTGATGACCACACTTCCAGACTAACAAACTCCCTGGAGAAACTTTCCCATGCAAGGGCCTCCCCAGATCTTACTTCACAGCCTCAAAGATGGACTTTCCCTCCTAAAGGAAGAATGAAACCCCATCCTCTAGGTCTGCTAGGGTGTATTTGTCTGCCATCAGCCTACACTCTTGTCCCATTTTACTTGATTGTGGGGTTATCTAAAATTTAGATTCTAAACTGTTTCCCATGCAGGAAAAGAGTGGAAATCACTCCGCTCTGAGACAGTCCTCCCTACCAGTCCCCTCAAATGTCTTTTTTTTTTTAAGTGTAATCACACACCAATAGTTTCCAATTTATCAAAGCATAAATTTGCCAGTTCTTTTTCCTAAGTCAAGGAAGTAGCTGAAGTTAGGTTTAATTAAAACCAGCAACTATTTGTACAGCTGTCCCGGGTTCATGGCTGGTAAAAGGATTTAGCTTCAAACTCTGCTGCCTAAGTCCTTCGGGAGTTTCACAAAAAAACACTGAGGCTCCTCATCTAGGCAGTGCCAAGCCCTTGCTTCCCCAGTTGCTATGCAAGCAGGCCGGGCTGCGCCCTGACGCAACTTTGCCTTCGGCAGTCAGGCCTTCCCAGCACAAGGAGCCTGAGGATACACAGTCCCTTTCTTCTGTGTGGGGGACAGGGGCCGTGAAGGCTGCTCCACGAAGTCCCTGAAAATTCCCCTAGGGCTCTGAAAGGGCGGGAGGGGGATCAAGCACCTTCTTGGTTTCGTGAGCTTTCCTCTGGTCCTGCACACTTTTCGTTTCCCGGTGGGTCTTTAACTCGTGCACCCCCATCCCAGCCCCCAAAGGGTCTTAGGTAGGCCTCCTTCAAAGGAGATGGGATGGGGTAGCCCTAGATGGATGCCTCCGCACAAAGCGGCAGGTTGTCCCAGCAAAGCCCTGGAGAGGAGGCGGAACCGGCGCGCGGCTTCTGGCCGGTTTTCAAGTGCACGGGGGGGAGCAGGACTTCAGGCAGTCTGGAGTCGGAACAAGCCCAATCGGACTCGAACCGAATGCTGGGGCCAGCGCGGGTCGCTGACCGCGGGCGCGGGGCGGGGTCGGCCCCACATGCCGAGAGGCCGGGAGGCGGAGGAGCGGCGGGCTGGGAAAATGACCCCAGCGACCCCACGCGCCCCCGCCTCCATCGCTTGCGGATGCACCTGCCCGGGTGGAGCGCAACGAGCCGGCGGCGGGGGCGAGGACCAGCCCCGCGCCCTTAGAGGCCTCCACCGGCCAAGAGATGGTGGCTCTGCACACCCTTCAGCTGCTGCAGCAGGAGTGGGGCTCGGGGGACCGTCCGGACGCCCCCGGGAACCCGCATGACCTAGACCACGTGCCCACCGCCCCAGCGTGTCGCTCAGGCCCAGGGCTGGCAGGGCCCAGGCGAGGGCGCGAAGAGGTGGGCGGGAGCCGGGGGATCAGGAATCTGGGGTCCTAGGGAGCAGGCGAGCTCCCCCGAGGTGGAAGCTGTGCGAGGCGCCGAAGGGGGCGCGGAACTGCTGGGCTTCCCCGGGGGCCGCGAGCCCTGCACCCTGGCTGGCGACGCGCAGCGCGCTGGCCCTCGGAGCTGGTCACAGAGGAGCAGACAGACGCTCCTGGGCCCCCTCCAGCAGGAGCGGTCCTTCCCATCCTCCTGAAGGTGAGCCTGGCCTCCGGCATCCGTCCCCCTGCGGCGGCGCAGGGTGGAGAGGGGGGTTGGCGGCCACGAGGCTGGGCCACAGGATCCAGAGTGGAGCCTCCCGCAGTGATCCAGCCCTCGGAGTGGGAAGGAGGAAGATGGTGCCCGGAGGAGTGGGCAATCGGTGCCCACCTGACTGCAGCACCGAGACACGGACCTTCCTCTGGGACCCCTCCCTCGCTCACATGAATCAGCTTCCAGCTCCAGTGCGAGGCCCTTTTCACACATGCAGCTTCTGGGCGTGGAGGACCGCTCCGCCTGCTCTCCTTCCAAATTAACAACCGCTCCCCTACAGCCTCAAATACATGTATTCCGTTCCCTCTGCCGTTTGTATGACGAAATCACCTACAGGTATTTGAAGTTCCTTCACACTTATGAATCGCAGTTATTTTTGCATAAATCCAATTCCCCACAGAGCTCGGGGGCCTTACAGAGTCAACCTAAATTCTCATAAAGTAGCACCAGAGAGGCGTGGGTGCCTGGTGTTGAAGCGTGAATACTCAGGCTAAACTCCTGCTAAGTCGCGCTGCTCATATTTGAAGGGCACAGGTTTCCTCTTAAGGTACCAAACTTTGGTAGCCAATTTAGGCAGAGAGCAGAGTGGCCTGCCTCCTAGGCTGCGTGGGAGCGGGGAAATCTGGGGGTCTGGGATCCAGTCTTGGCCTTGCTGTTAACTCTCCTAATTTGTTTAAGGTCACAGATCACTTTTAGACCCTCTGGCCTTCCAATTTTGATCCCTAATATTGCTTCATTCATTCTCTGGGGAGTCTAGTGGAGGGACATGGGGGAGGGGTGATGAAGAAAGGACATTTCTCAAGAGTTGCTGTTCTTGCTCTACAAGCCAATGTTTGGAAAACATTGATATATATTAGGTTGAACTTTATACTCTTAGAAGATTGATTTAAAATCAAATATAATAAAGCATAGCATATACCCGAAGAAATATTGTCACCCTAAACTAGGGTTTCTCAACTTTCACACTGCTGACGTTTTGGGCAGGATGATTCTTCTTTGTGTGTGTGTATGGTTGGGGCGGGGGGTGGTCCTGGGCATCCTCTGCCTCTACCCAGTAGATGCCAGCAGCATACCCTCCCCACCAGTGGACAGAACCAAATATTGCTGAAGTGTGTGTGCTGGGAGGGAAAACGAGATCACCTCCAGGTGCAAATCACTGCTTCATTCTAAAAAGCTTTTAAAAACGAAGCTGCATTTCACCAATGCTCTTGAGGCAGGATGCACCTTTTTTGGTACCACTGAGAAATAATAATAATAATAAAAATCCTACCAATTCAACTATGACACACTATCAAATATAAGACATATCCTCACTTCAGAGATTTTTGAAATGTGAAAAAACATGCATCTTAGAATTAATGAAACAGGAAGTACTCTGTCATGCCAGGAACCTACACAGGGCACAGATGGGTTGACAAAAGGAAAAGCTGAGTGATCAGTTTTACATTAGGTGATCCAGGAAGGCTTCTTGGAGGAGGTAAACTTTTTTTTTTTTTTTTAAAGAAATGTTTATTCTCCAAGCATTAAAGGGAAAAAACATTTCTGAGGAGCTGTGGGATTTCAGACCCAGAAGCAATGAAAGGACCTAGGGCTTTGGGGGAACTAAAATTAGTTCAGTATGGCAGAAGGCAAAAAAAAAAAAAAAAAGGGTGCTGGAGAGTTAGGTGGGGTCAGATGCAAAAGGCCTCTGGGTCATGCTGAAGGCCTTGGATTATCTTGCAGGCAAAAAGGCAGCTGTTGAAATGACTGAAGCGAGGACCCTGGTAAATCACAGAGGCAAGGTCAGGCCAGAAAAGCATTGTCAGAGGACCTGACCCAGCTTAATAGAAGGCTGCCCTCTGCTCTGGACTACAGCTCATGCCACTTGAGGTTAACACAGCTGCCACTTCTACTTGGTAATCCTTTTAACCCTCTCTACTTGACTTTTTGTTCCAAACATTTTCCACTCTCTGCAAACTTTCTTCATCCAAACCCCAGCCCTCTCACTCCTTTTCTGAGAAAATTGAGGCCATCTGACACAAATATCTTTCATTTTACCTAAAAGAGTTCATTTCCAATTATCTCCTTTCTTGCCGCTAATAAAGAAAATACTGTGTGGTTCCCGCCCTTGCCCACCCCCCCAAATAAATTCTTTCTCTTAAGTGCTAGAGCGAATCTTTACTCTACCCCTGGACTTTTTCTTTCAATTCTCTCCTCTCACTTTGTATTTTCCAGTACGTTCCCTTTGCCAGTTCCCTTAATCCATAAATATGCTCAGATCTTCCCTCACTCACGCAACCCCTGGAGTCCTCGTCCCTTTCTTCTCCAACGCAAGCAAACATGCAGACTTCTGGGTGCATGGCTGCCAGTGTGTTTAGATGCATCCAGAGTCCTCGTTAGGAACAAGGGATCTCAGCTTGCTTGCACACAGGACTCTGCTGTTCAACTTCAGGGGAATAATGAGTTTCAGGGCTCCTGAGAACAGCCAATACTTTCAGAAGACAGAGAAGTGGTTTCTCTGGATGATTTGTCTCCTGGCTAGCATCTTGAAATTTTGCTTGGTTTACTGTTAGGAGAGAAGGCAGTATCTCAGTTTTGATTGTAGGGTAACGATTACAAAGCACTTAGACTCAAGGATATAGCAGTCTGTCTTTCCGGGGGGCGGGGGGGGGCTAGTTATACAGACTTGGCATCATCATTACTAGTGTTGACTCAAGTGATTTGGGTGCGTGTCTTCTATATTTTTAAATTGAGACCATGCAGGTTGATTTTATACACAAAATGGCTTCAGGAGGATTTGTGCTAAAGGAAACAACACTTGTGTGTCACTTAAAAGTGTGTGGAAATTTCCCCAACATCAGATCCCTCCCACAGTGTTACCTGCCACAGAGAGGAGGAAGATGAACAGCATAGTGATCTGGTCCCATGGAGCATTTCAAACGTGCTCTGCTGCTTCCTGCTGCAGACTCTTGGCCAAGTCATTTAGCCTTCTGGTGCTTCAGTCTCCTTACCTGTAATGTGGGAACAGTGGTATTTGACCTATAAAGGTTATTGAGATAATGCATATAAAGTCTTAGCTACTGGCTGCTCATGGTAAACTGCAATACTTTTGAACTTTTATTAGTATTAATATTAAGAGACTGATGCCTCAATCTTCTTCAGTAGACCTTATTGACTATTATAGTTCATTCTTGATACTGATGGATCTGACTTATAAACTCTGTATTTACTTTTCTGAGGTTGTTGACAAAAACAGTTCGAATAACCCAAAGACATTTCCAAGAAGTGAGTTTCCAGAGGTCAGCATTAGCCCATGGCCAATGACTGACTTAGAGATGTGACTACCAGGTGATTCGCCTATCAAACCACCAGAATTAAGGGACTGAAATTTCCCGGCATGAAAGGAGAGAAACCCTCACCACAATAATAATACATATCCTTAAAGTAGTTTACTGTTTTCTTAAAGAAGCCAACACTTCATATTCCTTTTGAGTATTTTGTTGTTGTTGTTTAGTCACTAAGTCATGTCCAACTCTTTGCAACCCTATGGATGTATAGTTCACCAGGCTCCTCTGTCCATGGGATTCTCCAGGGAAGAATACTGGAATGGGTTGCCATTTCCTCCCCGGGGGGATTTTCCTGATCCAGGGAACGAACCTGCATCTCCTGCATTGGCAGGTGGATTCTTTACTGCTGAGCCACCAGGGAAGAAATCATCAAACTCATGCGAAACAAAACAGAACAAAACAAAACATGAAATGAGTCTGTACATGGTGGATGAAAAAATGCTTAACAAAACTGAGTCTTGTTAAATTTGGTGGAGAAGATGGAGTTAACCAGTTTGATAAAAATTTACTATGGGAGGAAACTGAGGTGCAGAGGAATTTAGAGCTTTGCTCAAGAAGTAGTAGCCCATGATTCAAACGTGGCTTTGTCTGACTCTTTCCATTGATACCAGTCACAGTGCTGGACTTGCCTGGTGGCTCAGATGATAAAGAGTCTGCCTACAATGCGAGAGACCCGGGTTCAATCCCTGGGTCAGGAAGATCTCCTGAAGAAGGAAATGGCAACCCACTCTAGTATTCTTGCCTGGAAAATCCCATGGATGGAGGAGCCTGGTAGGCAGTTCATGGGGTCTCAGAGTCAGACACGACTGAACGACTTCACTTTCACTTTTTTTCACACGGCTGGCTCATGGGGGTGTGGTGAACATCACACTGAAATCAAGTACATGAGCGTGCACAGTTGAGAGGGCATGGTCATACCTGCCATGCATCTGCACACTGCTTGGGTCACAACAGTCAAGCTGTAACCTGAGTATCTTAGCTTGGGTTGCCAAAACCAAATGCCTCAGACTGGGTGGCTTAAACTATAGCCATTTATCTTCTCACTGTTCTGGAGGTTGGGAAGTCTAAGAGCAAGTTTGGTTTCTAGGACGTTTCTCTTCCTGGCTTGTAGATGGCCACCTTCTCCCTGTGTCCTCATGGGGTCTTTCCTCTGTGCACAGAGCGAGATATCTCGTTATGTCTCTTCCTATTCTTGTAAGGATACTAATCCTACTGGATTAGGAGTATGGCCTAATTTAACTTTAATTATCTTCCTAAAGATCCTATCTCTGAATACAGAGTCCAACTGCAATTTAATTTTTCAACATATGAATTTTGGTGAAATACAATTCAGTCCATAACACTGAATGACTTGGGTTTCCTAAAATCATGGTCACCTTTGTTGTCGTTGTTTAGTCACTAAGTCGTGTCTGACTCTTTGCAACCCCATGGACTGTAGCCCACCAGACTCCTCTGTCTGTAGGATTCTCCAGGCGAGAATACCAGAGTGGGCTGCCGTTTCCTTCTCCGGGGGATCTTCCCAGACCAGGGATCGAACCTGTGTTTCCTGCATTGCAGGAGGATTCTTTACCACTGAGCCGCTAGGGAAGTTCTCATGGTTACCTTACATAGTGACAAAAA